ATATATATATATATATATATATATATATATATATATATATATAATGAGGAAAAATAAAAAGAGAGAGAGCCATGCTGCACATGTATCCAATAAATACGATAGACAAACACCATATATAGAGGCCAACTCTTTGCCAGAGGCAAAGGCCACAAAAATCCTACCAAAATATTTGATATCACAAGATCCATACCCCACCGGCTCCTCCCACCCACCCCAAAACCCCACATACCAAATGGGTACTATCCGTACATAGCCGTAACATGCCTCTGAACTTAATTTTATTTGGATATTATATATATATATATATATATATATATATATATATATATATATGTGTGTGTGTGTGTGGTCAACACTCATTGAATTCTGAGCACCTCAAAAATCATCCTCCAACTTGCACTTGCATTTCTCCAAACGACAAATTAAACTTGGACTTGACTTCAACTACACATATATGCTCTTTATTTTTAATTCTGTCCTTCAATTTTATTTACTATTATTTGTAAACATACATTTTGTGTGGTTTGTTGTGATTAGTTGATTATCAAATTAAATTATAATATCTTCATCGTATATTTAATCATTTATAATACATCATATCACGTAAAATAAAATATTTTACGATTAAAATATATGTAATATTACTTTTTTTAAAAAAAAAAAAAAGAAGAAAAGAATATATAAAATAATTGAAATCACCAAATTATATTCAAATTCCAAAAAAGGTTGGATATGAGACATCAACACATGCAAACCTTAGTTCAATAGACTTTATGAGTGTATATACATAACAAACATATCTTCATTATTACATTGTAGGGTCCTCTTTATAAAACATGCTTCCAAATTTACACTTCGACCAGGAGACATGATGAATTGTTATGCGTTGTACACTAGTCATATTAGAGAGGTGTCCACTCATATAAACGGTGTCATCACTTTTTTTTTTTTTTCCTTTTTTTTTTTTTAATTTAGTCAAAGGAAGTTAATAATAATAATAATATAATGTCCGTACGAGTTTAACTCAATGGTTATAATATTTGGAAGAAGAGATCAATCTTTGAACTTTAGCGACGACAGTGTGGAATATATGTTCAAAGTGGACAGATTTTTTGTGCGCACCGACAGTTGACCATGTCTATTGAGTCGTTGAGTCATTTATCCCTGATTGCTGAATCATTGAATCACTGTGATTTACATTCTCCTAAATGTTTTGTCGGAACAGAGTGTGAGAGACCTTTAGAATTGAGGATTCAACCTTCTGGGAGAAGCTAGAAGTTAATAATAATAATATTAAAAGCTCTCTTTGCAAATCTATGCTCGAGAAGAGTCCAACATTAACTATTTAGAAATATTCTGTAGTAACTGATACTCCGTATAAGCTAAGATATATAATTTTACTTCATTTGTCCCAACCGCCATTGTCCTGTCCAAATATTTGTTAGTCACTGGTAGAAAATAGAAATCAAACCCTAAATTATGTTGTGATTAGTAAAGTTAAGTTATCAATTTATTTTGAATTAATTACCAAATTAAGTTATGCCGTGAGGACCATTCTACTTTCTTCTCTAGTTTGACGCAAGTGAGCAGGCAATCTGCACATTAATTTTTAATTTTATCACAGTAACTTTGGTAGAGAAAATTTGAATCTTTATATTTTGTGAAAATTTTATTCAAATCTTTAAAATGTAGTAATTTAATATCCAACGTTTGTATTATGTGACAATTCCAATTATATATAGTTTTTAATTTGTAAAATAGTTCAATTCTTGCAATTTAGTTATTTAATCGGTGGCTATAATTAATGTTTTAACTTGCTTTTATTTATGTAGAAAGTTTTTTTTTAGAGAGTTTAATTTTGAATTTAATTTAGTAGTATGAAGTAGACATTTTGATACATTATTTTAAAAAAAATATGTTATGTTGTAATATTTTAAATGATTTGTGTGCCAACTCAAAAGAATCAGATTATGTTGGATATTTTATTAGATTAAAAATTATAATTTCTACAAAATATAAATAATTGATATTAATTTGAGTAAAGTATGCACTAATATGCATAATTAGATATAATTGTTACAAGACACGGTGCAAATATTTTGTATTAAATTGTTAAAATTTGAATATAACTATAAAATGTTAAGTATTTTTAAAGCCAATAAGCCAATTTCAAAATGTATTAAGAGTTAATCAACGATTTGGTCCCTTAAGTATTAGCAAACGGTCAATGTAGTTCCTCAATTGCTTATTCATCGATTTGGCCCCCGAAAATAATTATTTTTAATCGATTTAGTCCCTCCGGCCGTCGATTTGGTCCCCGAAAACAATTATTTTTAGTCGATTTAGTCCGTCCGGCCGTCGACGGAAGACGGCCTGAGGGACTAAATCGACTAAAAATAATTATTTTCGGGGACCAAATCAATGAATAAGCAATTGAGGGACTACATTGATAGTTCGCTAATAATTAAGGGACCAAATTGTTCATTAACTCATATATTAATTATCAAAAAGCTTTTAGTTTTCTAATTGATTAATATCATTTTCTAGGTATAATTTAAATATTGGACTATAAATGTATGTTTCATCATTGAAACTTTGATTTAGTGGGTAACACGTTATGTATACCTAATTATTAGGTGAATACTAGGCGACCAAGTACAAGAAGTGCTACCCCGGCTTGTCTTTTTACCTTTCTATTATCTTTATATTCCCCAAAAAGAGGAAAACTTGGAATAAAATAATGGATCATTTATTTTAAAATAGTTATTAAATTGAGAGCACAACTTAAGATTAGGAAAGAGTGGGTTGATGATCTCCCAAAATCTTATATTTTGTTTCTTTTAAAGATCTGAGATCATGTAATTAGGCTTCCGGTCAGTCCTTCTCAATAGATGGGATAAACTCCTTCCAAAAGGTTGAATCTTCAACCCTAATGACCCCCACACTCCGATCTGACAAAGCATTTGAGAGGATACAAATCACAGTGACTCAATGACTCATTAAACATGGCCAAATGCCGGTGTGCATAAGAGATCTGTCTACTTTAATTTGGGCATAATCCTTACACGGTAAACTCTTTTCTCAAATACTGCTTACCGATGAATTAGTGAGCTAAGCCCGTGCTAGCAAATGGTATAAACTAAAGTGGGGGAGGGCTGTTGTATAATTTATCCCAAATTTACTAATCTAACAATCATTCTATTTATTATTTAACAGCACAAATCCAGATTAAGCCTGGCTTAAAAAAAAAAAGAAAAGTTAAACATGTAGATAAAACAAAGTCATGTATTGGCCCTTCATAAGTTTCTTACTTAAATGAGACATCAAAATGCACATGCTAAATCTTTAGGGTTAGTTGGTTTATGTTGTACGAAAATGAGACACTGTTAAAAAACTTGTGTTTATTGTCCAACATTTATGTTCAACAATCAAATTGGTCAGTTGATAAGGAAAATCAAAACTTTTTTGACAATATAAAGAGAAGGCCAGGTCGATAACATGGTGGGTATTTCCTTCCAATTGATGTAGTTGGATGGAGATCCAAACCTAAAAACAAAGTTGGTCAATAGCATAAACCTTTTGTTATATTCAAACTAATATCATAAATAATGTGAAAAAGCCCGTGTATCTTGAAATCAATTTAACACTAAGGATTCTACTTGATTTTAAATTACTAGACAATTTCGCTGTTTAATTAAATCAATTCAATCAACATATAAATAACGAAATTGAAAGCGTTAATAAAGTAAAGACACAGTAGAATTGTTACGCAGTTCGGAGCTCCTTCTCCTACGTCTGCGGGGCAACCCACGTCTGCCCAATCCACTAGATGTTCACCACAGAGTATTACAAGAGGTAACTACAAACGGCTCACAGCCTTTACCACTATAACTCTTCTAAAACACCTACTCAGGACTGAACCGTGCATGCCATAAACATCTTTGGTGTAGCACTTCAGCTATCACAGGTACTAACTCGTAGTACAGATTTAAATCACAATTAATATAATCAATATTAAAGCAGTATTGAAGGAAGCTTGCGTATGGATATAGAAATTCAGAATTGGCAACATCCTCTTTTGATTTCCCTTCCTTTTATAGTGTACGAAATCCCCATTCCACCAAGCCTTGAATGTAGCTTCTTTATGTGGCTTGAAATCTTCTCAACCACATCTTCTTTTAACTTGATCTTCAGACTTGCTCTTTGTCTAAATCATTTCCAATAAACCTCCACCACACATTTTAGCTTGGTCCAAACTATTAATTACAATTCATGCTAACTAACATTTACATAAAATAAATTAATAAATTAGCCAATCTAATGTGTACTTATTTGTACACTTACAATCTCCCCCTTTGGCAATTTATTTGGTAAAACAATAGTATCATTATACTTAGGGAAAAAGGAACGAACAATTTTTTATTAAAATCCCATAGTATACGTACTTAACATATAAAGAAAATTAAATATGCAGATTTAACACTTCAAAAGCTTATATGTGTGTGGACTTTTACTTTGGACCTTGGTTGATGTTGACTCACATGCTTCACTTAATTAATGAATAGAAAATTATGCTCGAATTAGTGTTGTATCAAACATACCATATGTGTCACGCTTTCCATACTGTAATGGAAAACCAATATGTAATGTGTCACGCTTTCCATATGTGTCACGCTTTCCATACTGTAATAGAAAATTACTCCCCCTAACTTGAAGCTTTCCTTTCTTCACAACCATTCCAATTAAGACCAATTTATACCATGTAGTCAACATACCAAATATACCAAGTCATTCATTCTTAAGTCATTCATAGTCATACCAAAAATAGTTATAGTCATACCAAATTATTAATAACATAATCCATACTAAATACCATCCAAAAACTTACCAAACATCCAACATCCAAACTTAGACATACTCCCCCTTTCTCCAATACTCCCCCTTTGTTTATGCCAAATAAATGACAAACAACCTGGTGAACATCATACTAGTGGATTGGATTAACTTGCAGACGGGGTACCCGATTCAGATTCATCACTCTCAGAAACAGACCCAGTGTCAGCGCCAGCAGTGGATGTAGTAGATCGAAGACGAGCATATATGGCCTCCATTCGGGCAATTTCTTCCAACTCAGCACCCAACAATTTTTCTAAGCCATCAATGGTAATTTGTTGAGATGCAACCGATGTGCGAATCTGAGCTATTGATGCTTGAAGAGTGAGGACAATTTGACGTCGATCCATGAGCGTCTGAGGTTCCTTGATCACTGCAGATGGACGTGGAACAGGCGCAGAACCAGTGTCAGCAGATGAGGCAGGGGCAGACACCGGAGGTGTGGCAGACGGTACATTTGGAATGATCACGAGTGTAGCTCTATCATCATAGTGATCCTTGTTCGTCAAACGGTCATCATACTTGTAGATTGAGTCATTAGCAATCACTACTTCATCTGTGTAGGGCTTGAACCCGTGTTCCTGTAGAAGTCCAAAAATGAGACTAGGAAACGGTAGATGTACCTTGGGTTCCCTATGACGCACAAAAAGCGCAAGGTGGCCAAAGATGGTTTCTCCTAGATTGATAGGAAGGCGATTCCTGATCTTGTAGAGAAGGGCAGCAAGCTGGTCAGACACAAGATGATGACGAACAGCAGGCATCCAATTAGCTGAGGCAATTCGGAGAAGAACTGAGTAGACCGTGGTGAGCTTTAGGCTTTCAAGTCCGGTGTTAGGCCACGTGACAATTTTGTTGTGAGTTAAAGCAGCGGCTAGCAGATTTGGACTTGGATCAGGAGCAGCTTGATGATTTGGAGTACCCAAATAGGAATTAATCACGGCCGGACTTAGGGGATACCATTTGTCCCGAATGAAGACTTGTTGAAATCGCGGTGATCCCTCCGAGAAAGTATCCAAGGTTAAGTTGGTGTAGAACTCGGCAGTGAGCCATCTGGAATATGGGCCAATATGTACAAGTGATGCAAGCAGAAACTGATCACGCAAAATAGGAACAATGTTGCATTTTTCTGTCAACTCCTCCACATTGATGGATTTTTCCAAAATAAACTCTCGCGTAGCATGAACTCTCCAGTCGTGCATCAACTCTTGTGACAGTAAAACAGGATGATATGTCTTCTTGGGTTGTTTCTTTTTTGAGCCAGAAAGACCAGAAGCAGTAGCTGGTGTAGGAGCAGGACCTGGTACTGGGACTGAAACTGATCGAGATCTTGTCATTCTGGGTGGCAATGTGGGCTCTCTCTTTGATTGCTTGGAATCAGACAGGCAGGTAACATCCTCCAATGCTCCAATTTTTCTTTTCCCGGCTGTACCTGAAACAGTAAGTTTTTCTTTCCCTTTTCGGGAAGATTTGCTCACGGGCACAGATATGATTGGAACAGTGTCATGGGCTGTGGATACTGGAATGGGGGCCTCTACTGGTTTTGGAGACGGAACAGGAATGGTAATGGGAATAGAAAAAGCAGCACAAGTCATGGGAGACACAAACTGGGTAATATTTCGAATTGAGAAGGGTGTGGTCACATTACGCACAAAATCAGACAATGAAACAAGATTATCAGGCAAATTAGACGAAGCATTATATGGATCATCGGGAAAGAGAGGGGCACACATATCACTGGAGGTAGACACACACTGATTTGGCAAATTAATGTTGAAATTCAATTTTCTAGAAGCAGAAACAAACTCATCTAAAGGTGAGGATACTACCATGGTTTCAGGAGATGAGGCATGAACAAACTCGGATTGTGGCTGTGGGGGCTTAGTTGATTCGGTCGGAAAAGTCCACGGCTCCACTGATATGAACCGAGCAAGAGCTTGAATTTGTCTGATTTCCCTATCTGAGAGACCTTCAAGAAGGCTTGCATGGTGCTTGATTGTGGCTAGAACTCGATCCGTATCATCAGAGGTAAGGGGAGATTCAGCGTTGATGATATGGCGAAAAAGCTCCAATCTTTCGGATTTGGTGGTGAATATGGCGAAAGGGTTGTCATCTTCCATTGTTGGAGAAATTTGTGAAAGAAGATCTAAGGAAGAAGATGAGAGTGACGGTGGTGATGAGTAAGGGAGCTAAAGAGACAAAGCATTAATTTGTTGATATATGATGGTGAGGTGATGGGTCTCAAAAGCCGTGAAGGAGGGAAAGGATTTGACTAGGTGGTAAGGCTAGAAAGTAGAGTTATAATAGGAGAGAGAGATGGAAGTTGTTTCAAATTGATATTTCAGTCCACATGTTAATTTTGTAGATAGAGCCGGGTAAGGAAACATGGATATATAGGATCCTCAATTGCGTTTTAGCTAAAATAGAGAGATAAAAGGTGAGGAAATTAGAACGGAAATAGGAGAGCTTTAGAAATTTATTTTCCCTGTAACACAAAGTCAACAACCACGTTAGAAAAAAATTTAATTCGACATTATTTGTGATACCTGATGTGAAAAAAAAATTAGGCCGTGGGATTGCAGACTCCAAGGGCAGCTCTGAGCAGTTCAAATCTCGATTTGTCTAACGGCTTGGTGAATAGGTCTGCAAGATTTTTATCTGTTGAGGTATACTCCAAGATAATTTCTTTTTCCTCGACTAGTTCACGAATAAAGTGGTGTCGGATATCTATGTGTTTCGTCCTGGAGTGCTGAACTGGATTTTTTTGAGATGCTGATTGCGCTGGTGTTGTCACAGAACAATGTCATACTTTGTTGTTCTATACCATAGTCAGTTAACATCTGGCGCATCCAAAGTAATTGTGTACAGCAACTACCCGCCGCTATATACTCAGCTTCAGCTGTGCTAAGAGAAATCGAGTTCTGCTTTTTACTTAGCCAGGCGACTAAATTTTTTCCGATAAAGAAACATCCGCCTGATGTACTTTTTCTGTCGTCAGCATTTCCTGCCCAGTCAGCATCACTGTACCCTGCAAGATTCAGATTAGTATCGTTCGAGTACCAAATACCATAATTTATTGTACCTTTAACGTATTTTATAATACGTTTTACCGCCTTTAGGTGTGACTCTTTCGGATTGGCTTGATAGCGTGCACACATACCAACGCTTACCATAATATCAGGACGACTAGCGGTTAAGTATAATAGACTGCCTATCATACTCCTGTACATAGTAGAGTCTACAGACGTTCCTTTTTCATCTTTGAACAATTTAGTAGTCGTGGAGATAGGCGTACGAGCATCCTTTGCAGATTCAAGCCCAAATTTTGATAGAAGATTTTTCGCGTATTTTTCTTGTGAAATAAAAATCCCTTCTTTAGTTTGACTTACTTGTAATCCAAGGAAATAGGTGAGTTCGCCTATCATGCTCATTTCAAACTCCTGTTGCATTACCTTGACTAGCAGATCTGTCTCTCTTGGTTGTGTGGATCCAAAAACGATATCATCTACATACACTTGAGCAATTGTTATGTGTTTACCTGATTCTTTTATAAATAATGTTTTGTCTGATCCTCCTCTTTTGTATCTATTCTGAAGAAGATATTGAGTGAGTCTCTCATACCAGGCTCTTGGGGCCTGTTTTAAGCCATAGAGTGCTTTTTGTAATTTGTAGACATAATCTGGATGATGTGGATCTTCAAACCCTTTAGGCTGAGCAACGTATATATCTTCCGAGAGATATCCGTTTAAGAAGGCTGTTTTAACGTCCATCTGAAACAACTTGAATTTTAAGGCACAGGCAATCGACAGAAGGAGTCGTATTGACTCTAGCCGTGCAACAGGGGCAAATGTTTCGTCGTAGTCGATTCCTTCGATTTGGGAGTAGCCTTGGGCCACAAGTCGCGCTTTATTTCTAGCTATGTTGCCAGCTGCGTCGGTTTTGTTGCGGAAGATCCATTTGGTACCTACAACATTAACATTGTCAGGTTTAGGAATTAGAGTCCATACCTTATTTCGTTCGAACTGCCCCAGTTCTTCTTGCATGGCCTTGATCCAGTGTTCGTCTGTTAGAGCTTCTTTGACATTCTTTGGTTCAATCTGGGAAGTATAACAAGAATATCCCGCTAATTGAAGATAATCACGTTTCGGTTTACCTCTGGTTTTTACGCCGGAACTAGGATCTCCAATTACGTTTTGTATTGGATGAGCTTTCTGGATACGAGTAGGGATATCAACGTTACCATGATCAGTGTCAGATTCAGACTCAGACTCAGTTTCTTGCTCTGGTTGAGTTGAGATGGGAGATGGCATAGGAGACTCTGGATTAGGTTCAGGACAACTTGAGTCAGGTTCTGTCACTGGTTCAGGACGAGACGTTGGGATAATATCACTCGGTTGATCATCGATTACAACGTTTGTGGACTCCATAATGGTTTTGGTAACTTTGTTGTATACACGATATGCCCTGCTGTTCGTTGAATAGCCGAGGAAGACGCCTTCATCGCTTTTTGTTTCAAACTTTGCGACAGGGTTTCGATCCTTCAAGATAAAACAACGTGATCCGAAAACATGAAAATATTTAATGTTTGGTTTCTTGCCTTTCCATAATGTATACGGAGTCTGATTCGTGCCTGGACGTAGATAGACCCGATTGATGATGTGACATGCTGTATTCACAGCTTCTGCCCAAAATTTTTGAGGTAGTCCTTTGGCATTAAGCAGAACTCGTCCCATTTCCTGAATTGTGCGGTTCTTTCGTTCAACGACTCCGTTTTGTTGAGGTGTTTTCGGAGCTGAGTATTCATGTGTGATTCCTGTTTGGTTGCAGAAGGTATCGAACAGGTTGTTGTCGAATTCTCGTCCGTGATCACTTCGGATTCGAATGATGGGCTCATTTCTTTCTTTTTGGAGCTTTAAAGCCAAAGTTTTAAAGGCTTCGAGAGTTTCGGACTTGTCCCTGAGAAAGGTAACCCAAGAAAAACGAGAATAATCATCTACGCAAACTAGTATGTATTTCTTACCTCCAACACTTTCTGTTTGAGTTGGACCAATGAGATCCATGTGGATCAGTTCCAAGCAGTGACTTGTGTTTATAGTGTGCTGCACTGGATGAGAGGTTTTGGTTTGCTTTCCTGCTTGACATGCACCACATATGGTTGGTTTGATTTTCAGCTTGGGTAATCCACGGACACCTTCGATTTTCACAAGTTTGTCGAGAAGTCTGTAACTTAGATGTCCTAGCTTTTGGTGCCAAAGCTCAGTTTCATCTACATTGATCCTGCAACACAAAACATTGTTAGTAAGAATATAGCAATTATCAGTTGACCTTGTACCTTCCATAACACATTGATTTGCTTTGTCTAGGACACTGCAACTATTTTTGTTGAAGCTCACGTTCCAGTTCTGGTCACATAGTTGACTTATACTTATAAGATTTGCATGTAGTCCTTTGACTAGTAGAACTTTCTCCAGTTTTGGCAGACCAACTACATTTAGCGTGCCTATACCAGTGACTTGTCCTTTTATACCGTCGCCAAAGGTAACTTCACCTTTGCTTGTGTTTACGTTACTCAGAAATTTAGCATTTCCCGTCATATGACGTGAACACCCGCTATCAAAGTACCATTTTTCTTCTCGGCCTGTACTTTTGGAGTGAAAGGATACGAATGAGATATAATCTGTCTTTTTCACCCAGATTTGTCTAGTAAAGGGTTGAATGTTCTTGTTTTTGAACTTCTCGATTCTTTGATCCTTGTAGAAGTAGTAGCATTCTGGTCTGGTATGACCCCGTAACCTGCAATAATGACATACCGGGTTATAAGATTTGTAATATGGCTTGAGTGATCTTACTGTACCATCGCGACGTGTCGCTGTGCTAGACTCTGGAATATCTCCTCGACCAAGGCCTGACGCTTTGACAAACACCGTTTTGTCTTTTGAGCTGTTTCCTGTGAAACCTATCCCAAATTTTGCCGAAGTCTTTCTTCCAGACTCAAGGATTTCGTCAAGTGTAGACGTGGTATCCATCATTTGGATTTGGCGTTTGTAGGTGTTCAGCTCCTGTTTCAGAGTCTGTACCTCTTGTTTCAGTTTTTCTTCTCGGGCCAATGCCTCTTTAAGGAGCAGATCCCTATCGGCTATTTGAGTTTGATACACTTTCTTTGCAGTTGTTACAATTCCTATTTCACTAGTTAATCTACGATTTTCTTTCCTTAGTGCTGCCCATTTGGGATACAATTTATTAAAATCAATTTCAAAAGATGATTCACTTGACTCTAAATCTTCTGCAGAATTATACTCGCCTCCTTCTGAGTCAGCAATATCTTCATGACACGGTTTAGTAGCCACATGTGCAGTAAAGGCAACAAAATTCCCAGAAATTTCGTCTGAGTCAGATCCTCCCGTTTCACCGTCCGAGTCATTATCACTCCAAGTGATTGCTGACATGGATTTCTTGCGTCGAAGATAGGTGGGGCACTCTGCTTGTACATGTCCGAAGCCCTCACATTCATAGCATCTGATCCCTTTACTGGTGGATTTCTCTTTGGACTGTCCTGGACGTGAGCCAGAAGACTTGAACGTGGATGAACCGGATTTAGAACTCGCTTTAGATGATGACGCCCCCTTTTGCATATTCTTGTTTCGTGAACCTTTTGACACCTGTTTCAAAAGTTTAGAAAATTGTTTAGTAAGAAATACCACGGGATCATCACCTACTTCATCTAAATCAGGTGCACAATTATTTTCTTCAGCGGTAAATGCTACTGTTTTTTGTTTCTTTGTGTGATCTGTTAATATTTCCATCTCATAAGTTCTTAGATTCCCCATTAGTTGTGTTACAGTCTTTTTCTCCCAGTTGTCATGTTCCTGGATTGCTGTGACTTTCATCCTGAACCGAGGTGGCAGTGATCGTAGAATTTTTTTCACCAAATTTTCTTGAGTGAATGGTTCTCCGAGGACCATAGCCCGATTTGCTAGCTCTTGCACACGAGTGTGGAAAGTCACGATGTTTTCATCTTCGTTCATCCGGAGCTCCTCAAAGTCTGACTGTACCAGTTGCAGTTTCGATTGTTTTACCGACGATGTGCCTTCGTAGGTAGCCTCTAGTGCTTCCCACGCGCCTTTAGCTGAATCATGGCCTGCAACAATAGGAAATTGACCTTCATGAATTAGCCCATAAATAATATCTAGTGCCTTATCGTTGTGTCCAGCACTTGTTTTCTCAGCTTGGGTCCATTCATTTTCAGGTTTTGTCACTCGAGTTGCATCCCCACTGGTACTGGCTTTTGTCGGATGTTCCCAACCTGTTACAATGATACACCATACTGCTTCACCTTGTGCTTTGAGATGAGTGCGTGTGCGCACCTTCCAGTATGCATAGTTGTCACCGACTAGCTGGGGAAGAGCTTTAGTACGCTCCATTCTGTAACACTCAATAACCCGTGAGATTGAACAATTTAACAAAATCAGAAATAATAATACTAACCGCTGAAGGATTGAGATCAAGGGGCACGGAGTAGCCAGATCGTCAGACTAATAACTTAAGTCTGGAGGCTCTGATACCAATTGAAAAAGCCCGTGTATCTTGAAATCAATTTAACACTAAGGATTCTACTTGATTTTAAATTACTAGACAATTTCGCTGTTTAATTAAATCAATTCAATCAACATATAAATAACGAAATTGAAAGCGTTAATAAAGTAAAGACACAGTAGAATTGTTACGCAGTTCGGAGCTCCTTCTCCTACGTCTGCGGGGCAACCCACGTCTGCCCAATCCACTAGATGTTCACCACAGAGTATTACAAGAGGTAACTACAAACGGCTCACAGCCTTTACCACTATAACTCTTCTAAAACACCTACTCAGGACTGAACCGTGCATGCCATAAACATCTTTGGTGTAGCACTTCAGCTGTCACAGGTACTAACTCGTAGTACAGATTTAAATCACAATTAATATAATCAATATTAAAGCAGTATTGAAGGAAGCTTGCGTATGGATATAGAAATTCAGAATTGGCAACATCCTCTTTTGATTTCCCTTCCTTTTATAGTGTATGAAATCCCCATTCCACCAAGCCTTGAATGTAGCTTCTTTATGTGGCTTGAAATCTTCTCAACCACATCTTCTTTTAACTTGATCTTCAGACTTGCTCTTTGTCTAAATCATTTCCAATAAACCTCCACCACACATTTTAGCTTGGTCCAAACTATTAATTACAATTCATGCTAACTAACATTTACATAAAATAAATTAATAAATTAGCCAATCTAATGTGTACTTATTTGTACACTTACATAATGTATGATATTTTTAAATAAAAAATTAATTTTGAATAAGTTAAATTTATATAACTGGTTATTGTCATACTTTCAACATGTCTTACTTACTCAGATTACTTAATTTATAAAAAAGTTAACACTTAATTTTTAAAATTTAACCCATAATATAAAGTCAACAATTAATTTGATCGGATATATGTGAGGGCAAATTGCCCAGATTACTTACTCGATATTAACCAAAACATATTGCTTTGTGTGTAAGTAATAGAAACATACACGGCATACTCTAAGCTAAAGAAAGTGAAGCTTCTCTTGATTAAAAATAAAAACAAAAACAAAAACAAACAAACATAAAAGTCTTATGGTTATAATTAAGTGTTTAATGAAAGAAAACTAAAGATTGACTGGAAAGAAGTAGGTCCAACTAATTTGAATTAGCATATACTATTAGTCCCAGAAGTAATTTAGTATACATGATTAGGTTTGAATTTTTCTATTAAAAAATTAGTTGAACTAATGTAGACCTTTTTTACCAAGACCTTGTGGTCTAATGATATCCGGGTTGGACTTCTATTTGAGAGGTTGTGAGTTCAAGCCTCAATGGAGGCGTTATTGGTTTTTTGTGTGTTTCATTTTCTTTATTTATGAAACAGGTCAATTCATAATGAAAATATAATACTTATTTTGAAAAATGTAATACTAATCAGAAAAAAAAATTATTAGTTACTTATTTGTGATTTCTTTAAGAGGTGATGGAGAGATTTGAAGAACTCCAAAAATCATTATATGATTGCCCAACTATATGGATCGGATACATGCTCACACGAGCAATTTTGGTTTTAGAATTCATGATAGGGTGATGTGTTAAAGACCTATAAAAGCAAAAGGTATTAGCATCATGCATCTAGTGGAAGGTGATGGATATCCACCTCCATACTTTCCTAATCCTTCTTTTCCCACTACCTACTTATCTCACCATGTAGCTAGTGGTCCTAAATCTTTAGCTATCATTTTTCAAAGGGAAATCACGACAACTATCTGAAGGTATATACTGCTATGAAATATTACTATAAAAATAATATTTTTGGAAAAATATAACAAGCACAAGAACGAATGGATTATCTGGGTAGGTGGTTAGCACGAGTCGAGCGAATCACTCTCTCCTTAAAATTTTATTTGCCGCCTCCCAAAGGTGCTAGCTAGAAGCGTTCCAGCGTAGGTTTTTCAGGATAAAACGTACTGCGATTCTAAGTTTGAGCATTCAAACAATGGAATTCGATGAACTAAAGCACGTGATGAACACATGAAGCTAAGAAAAGATGAGAAACAGAATTTTGAGAGAGAAAAACTAATTTTTGCAGCCTATTATAAATAATTTCAAATCTTATGAAACGAATAAGAATAGGATTTTGAAGATTTTTGATTGAATACAATAGAGTTGAATTGAATATGGAATTTAGAAAATGGTTTCCATAACCAAATAAGCAATCAAATGCTAGCAAGTAGGCTGAATCAAAGGCGCAACATACCACTCATAAGTTGAGACATTGATGGATCGGATTGTATGAAGAAGAACATAGATATATAATTGCCATCAGCTTTCCATGTCTGATTTGTGTCGTTGCTTTAGAAAATTTTTAAAGTTTGAACTTTGAAGGGTCACTTTATGCTCATATCGACCAACTTTTTAGGGCCAATTTATCTTATACTATTAAAAAATGCTTTATGCTGACTAATAACGTAACACTCTTCACGTACGAAAATTAGGCCACTCACATATTTTTGTTTTATTCATGACGAGTTGTTATACCATGGACCATGGTCCACATTGCAAGGTGGACTATCAACTATGGTCATAAACGACGTATAAATTGTATAGGCAGGATCATCAAATCCTAATCTATTAATATTGTGTGACTGCAATATTTGAAAGGAACTTGTGAATACAAAACAAGGTAATCAATTACATATATATTAACACTGTGTAATCGTAGTATACAAATTATAAATTTTTAAAAGTTAAATTGTAAACATTTAGTATGTAAATTGTGAGCATTTAGACACAGGTTCAATTGCAAGGTGGAGCCCAATTCACAAATAATTTGCAATTCATAACTCAGGTTTCCCAACTTTGTTGGACCACATAAACCTGCTCCCAGATCCATGGAAACTCAACATCAAACTGTATACTTCTACACACAAAAAACCCAACCCAAACTTTAACTGTTACCGTTAATGTTTGTGACAAGAATGGAACACTCACCCAACTGCTGAAAACAAGTCTTAAGTTAAACTTCTCATTTACTGATTAAACCAATGACTTGGAGGCCACCCACATATCTTGTTGGAGTAATACATACCCATCAAGTTTCTAAATAGACCATTCAGTTTTGATAAACTAGCACTTACAAGTTCAGCATGTAACAGTCAAATATTCACTGGCACAATGAACAATCCTCAAATGCACAATCATCCATAGTGTTGGGACTAATAGGCCCTTCTCCCAACCCAGCTAAAGAAGCCCAGAGGTGATCCAAATCCAATAAATAGCTAATCTCATCTTAGAATTGGCAAATTATACTATGAACCAGAGTCTACCTTGCATTATAAACCTGATCTAAAAGAACAACATATTATGTGTCTAAAGTTATTATGTTACTCGTCTGTATCAACAGATACAAAATAGGTCAACTGCAGACACCTAATTTTTAGATCAGAATCCACAATACAAGATGAACTCTGATCCACCATCTATCCATGCATCCCTCATCAAATGTACACAAATAAACCTGTAAATTAACCCATCAAATAATAATAATAATAATCTTAGACTAGGAGTTCAAAGGCAAGGAACAATTCCATTTTCCATTCCACCACTTCATTGAAGAGGAGAATGGAAACCAAAAAAAACAAATGAAACTCTACTTCATTCACATATATGGCTACATGTACATCTAACAAACTGCACAGTCAACTTGTGTTGTTGATATGGTCACCCCAAAAAAAATTAAAATCCTTAGGTTCCTGCCAACACCCTCCTCAGTTCTGATTTCTGAGCCTCACTCAGCCTTGCCGGGTACCTAACATCAATCTTTATCCGTAGATTTCCCTTCCTGCGAGGTTCTTTAGAAATTGGCATTCCTTCGTTTGGGACAACTACCTCGTACCCAGGTTTGACAACTTCAGTCAATGGGATGCTAAGATTTCTGCCGTCCAGTGTTGTTACTTCCAGAGTTTTCCCGGCTAGAGCTTCAAGAAGCGATATTTCCCGACTGATAACCAAATCATTACCATCCCTAACAAAAACAGCATGAGGTTTCTCGTCAACCACAAAAATAAGATCTGCTGGAATGACACCAGGTTCTTGATTGCCCTTCTCGACAAAGGTTATCTTTGTGCCTTTCTTCCAACCAGGTTTTATCTCAATTGTCAGAATCTCCTCCACGCTTCGGAGTGTGCTGCAATAAGACAGTACTGATGTATCAATATAAAGAGCAAAATTTGTGGTTGTAAATACAAAATATGAATGCATATTTATACTAAATACCCAACCTTGTTCAAAGGATACATCTTAGAAATTAGAATTATACCATACAGAATAGCATGCATAACTACGAAGATTGAAAGAGCATTTTTACTTTGTGCACCTAGCAAAACTGCAAATAACATAAATTTAAGCAATTTCTATAGAAACACACAATAACAGGAATAGCTCATAAGCTCTATTCTGATTATAGGATCATGTGACAATAACTGGCAAAAGGAAAGATTTTCTTGACACAATAATATTTCTTATATCCTAAATAATAAACGTGAAAGAAGAAAATTTGGAAAGAATAAGAGCTGTCAGCTGTGACTGAAATGCCGGGCAAATCAGCCCAAACTGATTTAATTTGCTTTATAAACCTTAGAATTAAACAATGTTTCTGATATAAATTCCTCAATGGCACACTAAAAAGCTTAAATGCATACAGAAAATCTCAGTGTGTGCTATCTTAATTTATGTAGAAGTTTAAAAGAGCAAGACAAAATAGAAGTGCGAGATTGCTTGAAACTTGGAAGAAGAAGAAAGTCAATTAACGTAAACTAAAATGTCTTACAACTACTGGCCAAAAGCTTATGTTTCTATAAATATTGAATACCCAACTAAAATGGAAGAAGTACACAATTCTCAAACTCATTTGGTTTATCTTCAATTATGATTTTCATAATGAACTGAAACAACATAAAACTAGGTTTTCATGGAAAGAATACTTTAAGAGGTGGCGAATAACTTACTCAACTATAGTTATCAAGACCTAGTTACACATTTAACCTAAAGCATGGCATAAAGTACAATGCAAAGACAACAAAGTTAGACTATTGCAGATAGAAAATCCTAGATATACCTTTAAAAAGTAAATATTGATTACTCTTAATAGAATAATGATAACATCACATTTAAAAGAAACTATGGTCTGATTTGGTGATTTTCAACATAAAAGTACTTCGAAAATAAGTACATGAAAAATTCTAAATGTGCTCCCTTTCTTTAGATCGCACAGTAAAGAGCATCTAAGCAAAGGTCCAATAGCAAAGATTTTCCCGTATTAAATATGTATTATATTTAAGGCATTAATTAAGTTTCCAAGTTTGACTAGGCTAATTAATAGTTTAATCAAACTAAATGACTAGATGTTTTTTGCTTTATCGAATGCATGCCTATATTGATGCAATGTACCATGTATATTTTTCTTGTTAACAAAAATATACTCCATCTAAAGTTCCAAGTTAAGTAGGGGCCAAAACATCTAACTCTCCCTGCAATTCTACCATCCTAGAGGCAACACAAACATGAAGATACCAACTATGGTGGGGCCTATAGCTTCCATTGCAACGAGGTTAGGCTACATGTCATTTAAAAAAAAAAAAAAAAAAAAAAAAAAAAAAAAAAAAAAAAAAAAAAAACTACATATTGAAAGCATTAGATCAACCTTATACTGCCAGCAATTTCAGAGGAAGCCAAAGAAGAGAAAGCACTAAACAGCTTTCTCTACACCTAAGAGAAGCTTTTCAAATTGGTAGCATCCAAAAGAATAAGGTGATATTCCAAAATCATTTAGAAGAAAGCACAAAAACTGCTCCACTAAGACAGCATAGAAGAAACAGACACAGAAAGAGAAGCTAGACCTTTCACAATACACTAAACATAACCCAATAGCTCTGCATCCAATTATACTAAGCAGTAATGAAGCCAAGAATGTGCAAAAGTAAACAGCACATCAAGAAAAATCAGATCTTTGCATCTAAATATGACAAACCCTAGCCCTAAATATATAACAAAATCCAAACTTTCTCTGCTACTAGAAAAAAATGGGAAAATCCAAATGGTAAAAACAAAATGGCTTTAAACATTACCCAGAAACATCGAGAATCTTCCTGGAGATCTTCATTTTCTTCCTAGCCCTCTTGGACAAGTCCTCCAAACTAGATTATTATTGAATGTGTATCACTAGAGAAGAAGTTGGCACTTGGATCTTATCATGGGAGCTTCATATCCAAGTTTTTTTTTTGTTTTGTTTTGTTTTCATTTCTTGATAGGTGCATTTATATAAAACCAGGATCTATAGTTATTTCGTTCTGATATACTGCGCTGCAAGTATGATTTGATAAACACAGTTTGAATTTATGAAATATAACAACTGTTAACATGCTATCTAAATTCTTTATAATCCATTCACACTACGTTCTCCACACCTAAGAGAAGCTTTTCAAATTTGTAACATCCAAAAGAATAAGGTGATATCCCAAAATCCTTTAGAAGAAAACACAAAAACTGCTCCACTGAGACAGCATAGAAGAAACAGGCACAGAAAGAGAAGCCAGACCTTTCACAATACACTAAACAGAAACCAATAGCTCTGCATCCAATTATACTAAACAGTAATGAAGCCAAGAATGCAAGAGCAATGAGCAAAAAGTAAACAGCATATCAAGAAAAATCAGATCTTTGCATCTAAATATGACAAACCCTAGCCCTAAATATATAACAGAATCCAAAATTTCTCTGTTACTAGAAAAAAATCCAAATGGTAAAAACAAAATGGCTTTAAACCTTACCCAGAAGCATCGAGAACCGTCCTCGAGATCTTCATTTTCTTCTTCGCCCCCTTGTACAAGTCCTCCAAACTACATTGCAACTCATTCTCCACCGGCGGCGCCTTCCTCGATGTACTCCCTGGGCGCGTTCCAGTGGTAGTTCCGGAGAAGTCACCGCCGACATTGGTTGTGCTCCTGAAGAACCCATCCCTAGTCCCCCTGGCCCGTCCATTACTCTCCGAAGAGGAACCCCCAAACACATCGGCGTAAATATCATCCGCATCCCTGGGGTTAAACCGAAAGGAGGGATTGGGATGCGGCTGAGTCCGGAAGTGGTGGGGCCCACTCCGGGGCGGCGGCGGGACCTGGCCGGACTTGAGCGCCTCCTCGCCGTAGAGATCGTAAATTTGGCGCTTCTGGGGATCACTGAGGACATCGTAGGCCTCGGAAATCTGCTTGAACTTGGCCTCGGCCTCGTGCTTTTTGGCGCCCGGATTCTTGTCGGGGTGCCAGATCATGGCGAGGCGACGGTAAGCTTTGCGCAAATCATCTTCGCTGGCGTTCCGGTGAACCTTGAGAATGTTGTAGTAATCGACCCCCATTTAGGGCAGCGGCGGCGGTGGCTGATGAGGACGAGAGTAAAAGAGCTATGGCGGAGGATCAACAGCAGCAGCTATAGCATAAGAGAAATCTTTTTGGGGTTAATACTCCATTACTCCGTAACTTAAGATGCTGTTTGGAATTTATGAAGACGTGTTGAAATGGAAGGTAAAGGGCTAAAGGCCGTGGACGGGGCGATTTTGTGGGGAACCACGTTTAGGAGCTACCATAGTGGGATTTTTTTATTTTTATTTTTTTGTTTTTTCAAGTAACGTTACATGTATTTTTACATTTTTTTTTAAAAAATTAAGATAGTATACTTTAATTGATTTTTAAAAAAGTGGTGTTAAAGAATTTTTATTTTTTTTATTTTTTTTTATTTTTTTATTTTTTTTGTAAAAGAGAACTCAATTCATTAAATCATAATCTAAAAACGGGACCAAAAAAGTCGGTGGTTCATCTAACCACTCGCCTGGACCTGTCATAGAAACGGCTTCCCGTGCAACAGCATAGGCCGTGCAGTTCACAGATCGCCTAACATAAGCAAAACTAACCCCATGTAGTAACGAGGCTATATGTTTTACATCATCAACTAACAGACCAAACGCAGAAAAAAAAAAAAAAACTCAGACGGTAAAGCATGAATATACAATTGAGAGTCTGTCTCCACATCCACCTCCCCATACCCGTATCGCGTAGCCACGATAGAGCTTCACGCAAGCAAAACCCCTCTGCCTCCTCCACCGTGTATTGGCCATGGACATGAACACCCCTTGCTGCCAGGTACCGTCCGCCATCATCCCGCAACACCCACCCCAAACCCATGGTATTATGGATGAAGTCGAACGCTGCATCACAATTTAGCTTAAGCCTGCCGACCTCTAGAGGACGCCATGCCTCCTCCGCCTGGACGCCATTCGCACCCCGGCAATCCACGTGCATCGCCATCCAGTTCTGACAATACCTCATAGTGTCATGTAGCACTGATTCCCTCACAAACTGGTCCCCCCGCCACACGTTCGCATTTCTACTCGTCCAAACTGCCCAACACAACATCACAAACTTGTTCTTAGTGTCATCATTTAGGCACCCCAATATGCCAAAAAACCAGTTTGTAATGTTTCCATTGTCATGAGCACCTACAGGGAGTTGTATCGTAGCCCATAGATACCTTACATGCATGCAATCCGGAACAGATGCGTGGCTGTCTCCTCCACTCTACCGCACATATGGCAGTTCACCACACACGCAACCCGCCTACTGGCCAGAGCTTCACGAGTTGGAAGCACCGATGTAGCTAGCTGCCATGCAAACATCTTCACCTTGGGAGGAACCTGAAGCTGCCAAATGAAATGCCAAGGGTAATTAGAACTGACCTCCCCACTCAGTAGTCTGTAAGAAGACCGCACCGTGTACACCCCCTTAGACTCCCCCTTCCATACCCAAGCATCTCTAGGACGCCGGAAACTTACCGGTGTATTAAGAATATAATTAGCATCCCTGGCATTAAATACATCAAGCACACAGTCCCGATCCCAACTAGTCCCGGCCATATTGAACAAAGAGCTTACCGGCGCGCTACTAACTGTGTCATGTAACTTAGTATTCACATACGGGTCCTCCGCCTTAACCAGCCATGGATCCCTCCCTATTGTAGTTGTTCTGCTGTCCCCTATATATGCTCCGCCTATACCACTGTTTAGTTGCATTTCTAGCCTCAACAATACTATGCCAAATATAGGAGGGGTTATAACGAAGTTTTGCATTCAAAAGATCAGTATTTGGATAATACCTGCTCTTAAACACCCGTGCAACGAGAGAATCCGGCCTAGTTAAAAGCCGCCAAGTCTGTTTCCCCAGTAGTGCCAAATTTGTTTCAAGCATGGTTCTGTACCCCAACTCGCCTTTTGCTTTCGGAGCACACATTGCTCCCCATGCCCGCCACCTTATCCCTGCACTCCCCGCTACCTTCCCCGTCCACCAATATTGGTTTAGAATGACCTCAATTTCCCTGCACAGAGTTACAGGCAAAGAAAATACCATCATAGCATAACAAGGTAGCGCCTGTAAAACATTCTTTAATAACACCTTCAGGCCTGCCCTTGATAAGAAACGAGTATTCCAACTACGAACCCGTGAGAGAATGCGATCCTTCACGAACCCTAGAACAGCCTTCTTATTCTTTCCTACCAAGGATGGCAGCCCCAAATACTTCCCCGCCGTATCCCCTTGCCTGATACCGAGCGAATCCACCACTGTATTTCTTCTCTCATTGTCAGTGTTACTGCTGAAACAAATGAGTGATTTGTCATAATTCACAAGCTGCCCCGATGCCCCTGCATATTAGTCGAGAATACCCTTCATATTGTTGCTTTCCTGCATGTTAGCTCTCATAAAAAGAAAATAGTCACCCGCAAAAAGCAGATGGGTGATTGCCGGTGCTCCTCTTGCAACCCTAACACAATGTAACATACCCTGGGCCGTCTAGTTCTCAATTAGCGCGGAAAGACCCTCCACCACCAGCAAGAATAGATATGGTGACAGCGGGTCCCCTTGCCTTAGGCCTCGTGATAGCACAACAGGCCCTAACAGCCTCTGCTCATGAAGAATGTGGTACTTGACACCGGTTACCGTCTCCATCAGGATGTTCACCCATTTCTCGTTAAAACCAAGCTTCAACATGACAACTCGTAGAAACCGCCACTCAACCCTGTCATACGCCTTGCTCATATCAATCTTCATGGCCGCCACCCCATCCATGCCTTGCGTTTTCCTTTTTAGAAAATGGTGTGTCTCGAAAGCTAGCATCACATTATCCGTTATAAGGCGCCCAGGCACAAAAACACTCTGGGCTTTCGATATAACCTTATCCAACAAAGGATTGAGCCTATTCGCACATACCTTCGCCGCGATCTTATATGAAACATTGCATAGTGGAATAGGCCGAAGGTCCTTAATCGTTTCAGGCACTGGTTTTTTGGGAATCAACACAATAAACGTGTCATTGACTTTGCCCGGCAACTTTGCTGTCTCAATAAACTCCCTACAGAACCCAGTGACTTCCCCTCCTACCGTAATCCAGAAGTGTTGGAAAAACCCAGGGCCCAGTGACTTGTTGGGGTGCATGGAAAACACTGCCTTCCTAACCTCCTCACAGCTTACCGGTATGGTAAGCATTGCATTATCGCGGTCCGTAATATGGGAGCCAAGACAAGCAATTACATCAGCAACATCTCCCGGCTGTGACGCAAACAAATCCCAATAATAATCAAGCATCACAACCCCCCACCTCATCCACCCCTTCTGCTAAGGTATGGTCTTCCCTCCTTAACTTCACTACCCTGTTCCGCCTCCGTCTTGCCTTCACAGAATTGTGGAAAAACTTAGTATTTAAATCCCCTCCCTTACACCAGTGCCCCTTTGCCCTCTGCCGCCAATAGACATGCTGCTGATCTAACAAAGTTAACCATTCCCGCTCAACCCTGTCATACGATGCACTGCCCACAGGGTCTGTTCGAGGCCTTAACACCTCAAGTTGTTGTCGGTATCTATCAATCCTCATTTGGAAATGTTTATTATAAGCACGCCCCCACCGGTCAATGTCTCTTCCACACGCCTCGATCCTATGGAACACATCAAGACCAGAAGTCCTACTCCAGCTATGCTCGACGACCTCCCTAAACACCTCCTCCCAGAGCCACATGTTGTCGAAGCAAAATCTCCTCCGACGGGAGCGGATGTGAAACCACAATCGGAGTTAGCAAAATAGGCATGTGATCACTATAAGGGCACGCCAAAGATGTGCCACGTGCCCCTTGAACCACGACTCAGTAGCCATAATCCTGTCTAACTTTTCTTCCACCATGTTTGGGGTGCTTCTTGACCGATGCCAAGTATATTGATAGCCTTCTAAAACCAAATCTGTAAGTCCACAGTCCTGAGTGGCCTCCCGGAACCCATTTAGCAACCATTGTGGATGTGGGTGTCTCCCCCTCTTCTCATACTGATGCAACAGGTCATTAAAATCCCCCATGGTTACCCACGGCAGATTACTCATCCCCGCCAAATGACGGAGCAAGTTCCCTGACTCCCGCCTCCGATGTGTTCCTGACATACCATAGAACCCCGTGAGCCTGAACTGAGGAGTGCCCTCATCCAAAACCACAGTAGTGTCAATATGATTTGCCGAATACCTCGTTATCTGAACCTGGACCACCTCATTCCAGAACATTGCCAACCTGCCACTATGCCCCTGCACATCCACTACGAATAGATTATTAAACCCCAACCGCAGCCTTATTGCTTCCATTCTTTGTGACACTAAGAAAGTTTCCATTAAGAACATTATCTTTGGCCTCTTCTCGCGGACCAAGTCCGCCAACACTTGAACTGCCGTCGGGTTGCCAAGCCCCCGGCAATTCCAGGCTAAAATATTCATGGCCCTGGGCGGGCTTGCTCCGCAAGACCCGCCTCCGTCGAGTTTTTTGAACCCATGATCCCACCATCCGTCCCCATCGCAACAGCCGCATCAGTCCTCCTCCGCTTCGGATTAGTCACCCCCACCTCCGGAACACAAAGCCCATCCGTTACCACCTTCTCCGTCTCAGTTAGTGACTCCACCACCGCCGCCTTCCACTTATGCCGCTCAGCCGTAGTCTCTGGCGAAATCCACCGTTGACCATTGGACGGCACACCTCTTTGATTACCAGCACGAAGCCAGGCCCCATATGGCCTTGGAGCCCTCTCCTCCCCCGGCTTCTCATATTTATGGCAGAACCTTTCCCCATGGCCAATTACGCCACAAAGGAAACAAAACGTCGACATGCGCTCATATTTGAAGTCAATAATCGCCCAGCCCCCATTATCCATCTTCAACCTCATCTGCCTCTTCAGCGGCTTAGCGATATCTAATGCTATCCGGATGAGGTAGAAGGTCCTCATCGCACCATCAAAATTGCAATCATCAGCTTTCATAAAGGTGCCCATGAACGACCCAATCGCCTTAACAACGGCCTCATACTGAAACCCTTGTGGCAGGGCATGAATTTGCACCCAGAACTCTGCGTGCGTGAGAGCGATCGCCTCCGGGTCCTGCCCAGGCGGGACCTTCCTGAGAATGAGCAAGCACTGCTCATATGAATAGGGCCCCTCCGCGATAATGCGATCGACATCCCTCTCCAGATAGAAACGGAACAAATATCTCCGTTGGCACAGCTCCTTAACATTGACTCCCACCACCGGACGCCAAACCGCCGCCATTGTGTCGTGAAAGAAAAGCAAACGCACTAGCTTATCCGTGACTAACCGACCTACGCCGTAGAAAACCTCCTCCTCCTCATCTTGATTGCTGCGATCCACTGGCAGCTGTACCAAGCCGTCATCATCATCTACATCAGCCAGCGTCAAATTCCTGCACAACGCCGAGATATCGTGCGTTGCCATGGTAGGTAAACAGTGCTCGAAGCTATGGTAGAAACCCTAATTGGCAAAACCCTAGTCGTCAAAACTCGCGAAAGGAGCGAGAGGAAAACCTTGTTGGTGTTAAAGAAAATATTAAAACGGGAAGAAGGAATACAGAGAATGGAGATGGAAGGCCAATATTCTCATTCATCAATCAGAATACTTATACAAAGGTATCACCAAATATAAGGTAATAATGAATACATATAAAAGGTAGTAACTTTATCAGTTACAACTACTACCATATATATAATAATGTCCACAATAATAATATTTATAACAACTCACCATTTTTATTCATTTTTTCAATAAATAAGAAAAGATTTAAATTAGTCAGCGAACTACACATAAAAGTGCAATTGAGTCATCCAACTAAAAAAAAAAGTACAATTAGGTTCCTGAACTATTCAAAATTATGTAATTTCACCAAACTTGACATGTTCCTAAGGTCATTGCTGATGTGGCATTTACCCTATTAAAATTATTGTTTTTATTTATTTTAATAATTTTAAATAAAAAAAAAAAAACAAAACAAAAAAAGGTACTCCCTCCCCGTATTTGTCTCTGGCTGGTCACAAAGAATATTCTTCATCTCTGACCTAGAGACGAAGAAAATGCTTACATGCCGGAAGAGTTTTCTTTGTGCCCATGTTAAAGACAAATAGTTTTATTTATCTCCGACAGGAGTTGAAGACATGGGGAGTAGGTGGGGTTTTCCCTTTTTATTTTTTAAAAACTAGTAAAATAAATTTAAAAATAATATTTTTTTAATAAGATATCTGTCACGTCAGTGATGATCTGAGAAACATGTTAAATTTGATCGATTTGCAAAATTGTGAACAGTTCGTGGACTTTTTTTTTTTTTTTGAAAACTAGCGAATATATTTCATTTAAAAAACGTATTCGCCAATTACATTAGAAAGGAAATGAGGAATAGAATCAACAAATTCAACCATCTCCACCCCTCCCCCCCGCCATGTTACATAAAGACTTTTTAGTCACAGTATAAGCTATCGTGTTACTATCACGCTTAATAAAATTAAAATAAACAATAGGCAAAAAATTCAACAATTCGTGGACTTAAATGCACTTTTTTTTTCTTTTTTTTTTTTTTGAGTTGGATGGCTCAATTGCATTAGGCAAGGATTTAATGGACTTGTAGCCGACTTTGTATTGGACGTCATGCGCTACCCATTGCATCAATTTGATGTTTAAGGGCATCTTTGAAATTCGTCATTTTGCATTGGCGTACAAGCAGACTTTGAAATTGTCGGTGTACATCCATTCAAAGATAAAGCTTTTGAATTGGTTGAGGAAGTATACCGGGAAGCGTGATTTGGTCACGTTTGCTAAGACTCGGTTTGCTACAGCATTCTTGACATTCAAGAGGTTTCACGAGCAGAAGAACAATTTGAAGAAATTGTTCAATTCAGAAGAATTCCTCACTAGCTCTTACTTCAAAGAAAAAACAGGAAAATAGTGTTCTAAAATTGTTAAAATGCCAAACTTTTGAAATACAATTCTAGAGGCGCTTAAAATAGGCGGTTCATTGATTAGTGTCCTTCGATTAGTTGATGGGGATGGTAAGCCATCAATGAGTTATATTTATCCATGGACATCACCAAGTCAGCAATTGCAAAAGCTTTCAACAATAATTCAAGCAAGTACGATAAGGTGTTTGGAATCGTAGATAAAAGGTGGTGTTAGCAACTTTGTCAACTATATATATATATATATATATATATATATATATATTGAAAACCAGGTAAACTCAGATTGCATTAGCCAAAATCGGCTCCAAAAAAGACGGAGGACCATCCCTCCATACAGAACTAACAGCATGCGCATTTTCATGCTTAGCTAACATATGAGCCGCTTTATTAGCGCCATTGCATCAATTTGATGTTTAAGGGCATCTTTGAAATTCGTCATTTTGCATTGGCGTACAAGCAGACTTTGAAATTGTCGGTGTACATCCATTCAAAGATAAAGCTTTTGAATTGGTTGAGGAAGTATACCGGGAAGCGTGATTTGGTCACGTTTGCTAAGACTCGGTTTGCTACAGCATTCTTGACATTCAAGAGGTTTCACGAGCAGAAGAACAATTTGAAGAAATTGTTCAATTCAGAAGAATTCCTCACTAGCTCTTACTTCAAAGAAAAAACAGGAAAATAGTGTTCTAAAATTGTTAAAATGCCAAACTTTTGAAATACAATTCTAGAGGCGCTTAAAATAGGCGGTTCATTGATTAGTGTCCTTCGATTAGTTGATGGGGATGGTAAGCCATCAATGAGTTATATTTATCCATGGACATCACCAAGTCAGCAATTGCAAAAGCTTTCAACAATAATTCAAGCAAGTACGATAAGGTGTTTGGAATCGTAGATAAAAGGTGGTGTTAGCAACTTTGTCAACTATATATATATATATATATATATATATATATATATATATATATATATATATTGAAAACCAGGTAAACTCAGATTGCATTAGCCAAAATCGGCTCCAAAAAAGACGGAGGACCATCCCTCCATACAGAACTAACAGCATGCGCATTTTCATGCTTAGCTAACATATGAGCCGCTTTATTAGCGTCTCTTCTAACATACGAAACTACAGTACCAGGCATAGAAGAAATTAAACGAATACATGAGTCTAAAATAAAACCAAAATAAGAACGAAAAGAACGTGCATTACTAAGACTTGAAACCAGAACCACGCTGTCAGTGAATAGCCTGACTGCCGTGTAACCGTTATTCTTAAGCCAAGAAAGTGCCTCAGTCACCGCCATCGCCTCTGCCATTAGGGGATCATACGGGCATACCATAGGGCCATTCGCCATATATATCAAGGTTGTAAAACTCGGCCGCCTAGGCGCTAGGCGGCACCTAGCCTTAGAGTTTTGGCCTAAAGGCGGCCAAAACTCGGCCGGCCGCCTGGGCGGCCTGGGCGGCCAAACTCGGCCGAGTCGACCGATTTCGTCCGATTTTGACCGATGTCGTCTTTCATTAATTATTGATTTTAATATTATTATGACATTATGACTTATAAATTATCATTATTTCATTTATTTAGATGTGTTATTTGAAAACAACATCATTAAAATTGTCAAACTACAAGCTTGTCACTATTTTTTAAAAAAATTTTTGGTGCCCGCCTAGCGCCGCCTAGATTCTGCCTAGGCGTTGCCTAGACCGCCTAGGCGCTAGGCGCTGCCCGGCCGCCCGACTAGCGCCTACTGCAACCATGATATATATATATATATATATATATATATATATATATATATATATATATAACTTTAGTTATCAAATAAAGTCATTCAAGCCAAATTGTCATTAAAATATCACATATTCAATATTCATAATCAATCATTCAATCCACCATCTCAAAATCATCTTCTTCATCACACAAATTCAAATTGTCAAAATTAATAACTCCATAATCTTCAAACGCTTCTTCATCAACGTCATCGTCATTCACGAGTCTACATTCGGGAACCTTTTCCTTTCCCTTTCCCTTTCCCTTTCCCTTAGACTTTGAACTCCCTACCTTCTCTTTTCCTTTAGAAGCATGCTTAAGAGAATAAAGAGTTTCATTTGGACCTGAAGACTTAGCAATTTCTCCCCAACTACATTCATCTCTATCATCAAACACCAACTCTTCATTAGCATCATCCGAAATACCTGTCAACCATTCATTAGACATTAGTAAAATCAATTTGATCCAAACTAATTGGATCAATGGTATCCCGCATTTTCCATTGTCGCCTCAATGCTCTATTATACTTAATGAAAGCCAAATCATTAAGGCGCATGTTCTCAAGGTGACTTCTCATTTTCGAATGCAACTGAAATATTTAAAATTAATTAGTGTTTAAATATGTTATAATTGCTAATTAATAACTTAAAATGATAAGTTGACTAACTTACATGCTCAAAAACACTCCAATTTCTTTCACATCCCGACGCACTAGTGGTGAGGCTAAGAATCTTAATTGCAAACTCTTTCAAATGTGGAGTTGAGCTCCCAAAAGAATTCCACCAATCAACTATAAAATTTGAAAATTATTCAAAGTTTGCAATATTTTGATTATAAATGAAAATTGTAAGTTAGATTGTCTAAGAAGTAAGAACCTGGAGGTTTAAAACCATGTTATTTATTGGCAATTGGCAAGCCAAATAAACCACGCCCAACTTCTCAAGTGGACACTTCCTCGCCAATTTTATCATACACATCTTGATCTGGAACCAACCTCTCCAAACACTCATAAAAGCCAACAATAACTTCTGGTGATTTAACAGTAGGGGAATCTGGTGTCTCACCACTATACCGAAAGTAATCTGGATTCAAGTAGTACGCAGTTGCATGCAATGGTTTACAAAACTGGGAAGTCCACCTTTTATAGTTTTATCTAGGATTTCAAATTAAACACCTTCATTCTTGCATCCCTCCAAAAAATAAAAAATAAAAAAAAAATCCTATACATTCTTGCATCACGATAAGTCAATTTCGTTCAATTGCCTCCCCCTAAAGATCTCAATAAGTGAATTAGAATCTGTATCGTCTAAATTCTTCATTGAAAGTATAAACATGCTATTATATGCATCCCTAGCTGTAAACCAACAAATGGTGACCCTTAAAGACTTATTTTCAAAAAGTGAATGACATCTGACAATGTAACCACATTCTTCTTCTAGTCTTTTAAATAAGACAATTAATTACCAAAAACGTTTCGGTATGACCGAAGGATATAGCTTCTAGAAAGTAGACACAACTCATGATTGTGCTCTTTTAAATATTTTGTTACAACCCACTACCCATTAGACCCTACATCAAATTGATAAAACGGAGTACATCTATCCTGTCTATGTGCCAACCCTTGCATACAACCTAGAAGATTTATCTGATTTTTCTTTGAAACCATACTTTGCACAACACAAAACTTCTTCATTTTCACAATGCGACTACCAGCAACATAATATTGTTTACCATTTCTAACACTAAGCCTCAATCTAAAAGCATAATCATTATACAAATCGTACACTTCTTCAAGTGAACTAATTGAAAGTCCCAACAACTCTTGATTAACTGTAAATTTATAATAATAAAAAAAAAACACTACAACAATACAACGATAATAAAATGATAGATACAATATAAAAACACTAAACATTCGTCATTTGTAAGATTCATTATTTGCATACATAAAGTATATTATTTGTATACATAAGGTATATTATTTCAAGGTTAGACCAAAACTTAAACTGTTTGACCTAAGTTCATTATCTGAAATACTACAAAGTACAAATAAGTAGTACTTCAGTAGAAGATCAAATAAACACACAGAGTGCAACAAGATCATGTAATACACAACTAAAAATAATTAAATAAAATCAACAACATAGTAATTATAAAATAAAAAACCTCGAATCGAAGAACTCTCATGAATAACATTTGAAGAACTCACATTAACTGCAATTAGTGAGCTCACATCAACTACAAACGTAGAAGTGCCATCAACTGCAATAAAAAAGGTAGCAAGGTAAGGAACAAATCAACTAATACAATCACCAAATACGAACCATCTAAATGATTCATTGTTGTACAAATGTTATTTCATACATGTTCAATTAATGTACATTATGCATGCATATAATGTACCTTATGCATGCATATAATGTACCTTATATGTTTAAAACATGTTCAAAATAATGAACATTACACATACAAATAATGTAAATATGCATGCGAATAACGTACCTTATGCATATAAAAAAAAAAAATTAACCTTATATATCCAACACTTGTTCAAAAATAATGAACTTTATACATACAAATAATGTACATTATGCATGTAAATATGGAACCTTGTGCATGCAAATAATCAAACACTACAAACAATAAATGTACTGCAATTTAACAATGAAAAGTTAAACCCCCCCCCCCCCCCCGCCCCCCCCCCCCCCAAAAAAAACACCAAGCACCAACCTGCAGCAGGAGTTACATAAGTATGATCAACATCAATTGGAAAATTCGATTCAACTTCAGTCAAACACATTCACATCACATGCAAATACAGAAAATACACACTATAAGTTTATAACTCATAAGACAATCTAAAAACAGAATTGAAATCGCATCTAAACAGACATCCAGTTGTTCGAATCAATAATGTGATCCATAATCGACTGAATTGAACGATGAACCTAAGAATTGAATGAGAAAAACAGATGGATCAAACTTGAATAACAACGCTGAAGAATGATAGAAAAATTATAACAGAGGAAGGTGAACAACGATAAAAATTTGGCCGGCTTGACTCTTCTTACCGGGCCTCACCTTCTAAAAATTTCATGTGTTCTCTCTTTCATCTTCTTCGCTGTTATGTTCTCTTTGTTCTTTTGCGTCGATTGAAGAAGCTTCAGCCCTCCTCCTGCAATTGAAATGCACTTTTATAACCCAAAACAATAATGTCCTTCTAGCTTCATGGTCCTTTCAACCTAATGTCAACACCAATGCTTCTATCCCCTGCTTCTGGTATGGTATATCAATATATCATGTCACCGAGGTAGCATAAACCGTCTGAATCTTACAAATTCAGGTATCAGCGCCAAGCTCCATGACTTTCCTTTTTCTTCTCTTTCAAATTTTGAGTTTCTTGATCTTAGCATGAATAGTTTATCTGGAACGATACCCAACAAGATAAGTGAGCTTACTGGACTTGTTTATCTTGATTTGTCGATCAATCAATTCTCAGGTCCAATCCCGAGGGATGTGAGATTTTTGACAAACCTTCAGACACTCCATTTGTTTGATAACAAGTTGAATGGCTCAATCCCTGGGGAAATAGGCCAATTTGTATTCCAACAATCTTGAAGTTCCCTATTCCCATTTCTTTAGCCAATTTGACCAACTTGACTTCTCTCTTCCTTTACGAAAATCGGCTCTCTGGTTCTATCCCTCCAGAAATTGGGAATCTTCTCAACCTCATGGAGCTTTACACAGATACAACCCGATTTACCGGCGAAATTCCGGCCACATTTTGGAACCTGACTAATCTCAGGATACTGTACCTTTTCAAAAATCAGTTAGGTGGCGCCATTCCGCCGGAAATCGGGAAAATTAAACCGCTTCAGAAGCTTAACCTCCACAAAGACAATCTCTGTGGCTCCGGTCCTCCGTCAATCGGAAATTTAACCCTCCTACATCTCTATGTGAATCAACTCTCCGGTTCCATTCCCAAAGAGGTGGGGAACCCCAGGAACCTTTACGATCTCGAATCTGAGTATATTAGAGGTTCGATCTGTTTCTCCGGCAGAACATTCTGGAGGGTTCCATCCCCGAGGAGATAGGGAAGTTAGAGAGGTTCCATAATCAGCTCTTCGGCTCCTTGCCACAAAATCTCTGCCGTAGGGGGAAAACTTCAGTACTTCACAACGAGCAACAACATGGGAGGAAGGTAGAGTAAATCTTGGATATGTTATGTGGACTCTGGATCAGAACGACATCGTTTTGATTCAGAGTCCACAATGCTGCGTGGACCTAATCCAGGGATTTCCCTCTAAAATTACGTAGCTGAAAGCATGTTGTTGTGAAGTACTGAAGTTTTCCCCGCTACGGCAGAGATTTTGTGGTAAGGGGCCGAAGAGGTGATTATGATCAATTTCCGATCCAGAACAACCAACCTCTCTAATTTCCCTATCTCCTCGGCCGGAGAAACAGAACCGCCAATTTACTCAGATTCCCGATCGCCGCCGGAATTGGACCGCCAAGCCAATTCATGCTCAATTCCAGATCATAAAGGCCCCTGAGATTCCCCACCTCTTGGGGAATGGAACCGGAGAGCCGGTTCCCAAATGTGGCCGGCAAATCGGTTTGTATCTGCGTAAAGCTCCACGAGGTTGAGAAGATTCCCGATTTCTGGAGGGATAGAACCAGAGAGCCGATTTCGTAAAGGAAGAGAGAAGTCAAGTTGGTGAAATTGGCTAAAGAAATGGGAATAGGGCCTTCAAGATTGTTGGAATACAAAGCAAGTAACTGGCCTATTTCCCCAGGGATAGAGCCATTCAACTTGTTATCAAACAAATGGAGTGTTCGAAAGTTTGTCAAAAATCTCATATCCCTCGGGATTGCACCCGAGAATTGATTTGTATTGATCGACAAATCAAGATAGATGAGTCGAGTAAGATCACTTATCTGGTTGGGTATAGTTCCAGATAAATTGTTCATGCTAAGATCAAGAAATTCAAGATGTGGAAGAGAAGAAAAAGGGAAGTCATGGAGCGTGGTGCTGATACCTGAATTTGTAAGATTCAGACGGTTGATGCTACCTCGGCGACATGATATACCATACCAGAAGCAGGGATAGAAGCATTGGCTTTGACATTAGGTTGAAAGGACCATGAAACTAGAAGGACATTGTTTTGGGTTATAAAAAGTGCGTTTCCATTGCAGGAGGGTCGAAGCTTTCTTCATTCGACACAAATGAATAAAGAGATCGACGTAGAAGTGGCAGAATTAGGCAGTTGAAAACAAATAGGTGAAATCTCATTTTAAATGCAGACTTCAGTGAAAGACGACTTGATATTGCGGATTGCGACTTGATATTTGTCCTCCTTTTGGCAACTGAAATCTATTGTATATATTAATAATAATAAAATACCGTTTTGTAAATCCATTTTGATGAATTAATTGTTATATCATGCGCCAGAGCGTACAATGCATTGCGCGCTCTAAAAATCTATTTTTTCGTATCTACATAATTGTATATTAGAATACGTATAAACTATTAACATAATACACATGAACTCTTATCATAATACACGTAAACTTTTAACATAATACACATAAACTCTTTAACATAATACATATAAACACTTATGGCGCATAATGCATTATGCACCCTAATGCACAATATAATTTGCCTTGATGAATGGTTGGAATATTTTTTTAATTATTTAAAATTTTAAAATTAATACTTTTCTGCATTATTCTTTTTAAACTTAAATTTATTTCTCTTTTTTTTTTTACAAATAAATTTAACATATAAAAATATATTATTTAAAAACTCAAATGACGAATTCCGTGTTATTTTTTTATTAAAATCTTCAACTATTGATAAACTTTGATGGGAGGTTATTATGAGTACTTACTTTTTACAAGAGAACCATTTCTCATTCAAACCCTATCTGTATACATATATACCAATTAATTGAAGTACATTGCACAATTTAATCAATGCCTACATGATAAAATAAATTGTAAAATTACATTATCAATATTTTTTTGAATACTATTGACTAAGTAATCAAGACCAAAGAGTCGAAAACCCACCACGGCACCACCAGAATTTGATCTTGTGACCTTCCCTCAAGGGGAGCCACAAAGGTGCAATCTAAGCACCTTGGCAAATTACATTATCAATATAAATATACAACTATTATATATAGATTTATTAAATTATTAATTTGTATAGAATTTTATATTTATTTATCATATTTTATTCTAACGAAATATTTGTGTAATATATTGAGTAATTAATCGAAATCCTCATCAATCATATTCAACATTCAACAACTTATGCTATTAATTATATAATTTTATGTCGTTGAATACTAAATTACTTCATTTTGTTGAAATGCAAAGAAACAAAAGAGAAAAATTATTATTTTTTTAACAAATGAGAAGATTTGAGCTAAAAGTTTATATATATATAACCAATATAAAAATTATGCAACTAAAGTATACCAAATAATTAGAAAATAAATTTCAACATAATCCATTGAATGAAAAAAAAAATAAAAAATCCTTATATTGAAAACGTTGTGGGTAAAACTTAAAAGAAAAAAAAAAAACAAAAAATTAGAAAGTATTTGTGAAAGTAGAAGAAAGAAAACCTAATGTCTGCATTGAGGCGTTAGGTGTGGTGCATTGTATGACATATTTTGTGCACTCCCAGAGTAAAAATTATGCATTGCTAGTAGTAAATGTGTGCATTTTGTAGCGTAGTGTTGTGCATTTTGTGTTAGTTTAGCAGTACGGTGGTTAATTTTGTGGGGCTTAGGCTTAGGGTTTATTGGTTTAGCGGTCTAAGGTGTGTACTTACAAAATTATATACACCTTTGTGCACTTTTGAGTAAAAGTTGCGCATTACTAGTAGTAAAAGTTGTGCAATTATGTGGAACTAGTGGTACATTACTTTGTTGGTGGTTGTGCATTCTGGTGGGTCCTGGGAGAGTTGTTTTTGAATGGAGGGTTTTGTACGGGCGTGGGTTTGTATGTTTATAGAGTAGAGTTTGCGGTTAATGGTTCAGGGTTTCGGGTTTATGCTTTAGTGGTTACGAGTTACTGCTAAGGGTGATTGTGGTTAGGGTTAGGGTTTAGTGTTCAGTAATTAGGGGTCAATTTGAGGGTTTTAGGGGTTATGGTGTGTGGTTTTTCATGTAGTGGTTAGGGGTTAGGGTTTAGATGTTGATACGGTGGGACAATTGCGTTGGTGTAATGGTGCATTGTGGTGGCAGATGTTGTGAAGTATGTAGGTGGCGTGGAAGTGGTTGTGAGTTGTGGTGGTGCCAACAGCTTATAGATGTAGTCTTTGTGTATCGATGTTATAGTGTTAGTGCATCGTTGTTGCAGTTTATGTGCATTATATTGTTAGTTGTGGTGCATTATATTTTTGTTAAGGTTTCTTTGTCGTGGAATTTTGTTTTCTATTTTTTTTCTTCTTTTGGGCATGGGTTTAATATTAGTGATTTAAAAATAATTGTTTGTTTTCATCTATATTGTTAAAGAAGAAACATGATTGAAAAGCATAGTGTGGAAGGAATGTTTGCATTTTTGTCGCGGTTAGATGTTTCTAGGTGAACTAATTTGGTTTTGGCCATATAATTACTATTATAGAGTTAATTATCGAAATAGTTCCTTGACTATAGTGAAATTACCAATTTGGTTCTTGACTAATTTTTTTTGACCAATTAAGTCCCTTAACTTTAAAACTCGTCTTAACCAATTTGGTCCTCCGTTTGTTTTGCTGTTAGGGTTCTGTTAACTCGGGACCAAATTGGTAATTTCACTATAGTCAAGGGACCATTTTGGTAATTAATTTTTGAACTAATTTCACTTTTGGTCCCACAATTTTTAAGGTCTTATCACTTTTGGTGCACAACATTAAATTTTTTCAATTTTGGTGCCTAACTTTTTTATTTTTATCAGTTTTGGTCCGTTCAACTAAATTGATGACGAAATGTTACCAAATTTTATATTGTAAGGACAAAATCGTCATCTCAAGATAATATCTTCAATATCTAAACAAAAGAAAAATCATATTAAGAGAAAAAGAAGAGTTTGCCAATTGTCGATGTTATAAATCCCATAGATTTAAGGCTAGCTTCTGCCCGTCTTCTCCATTATTCTCATCGATCAAACACATATTGATATGATTTTACAGTGGTTTTGTTTAGATATTGAAGCCGTTTCCTTGAGATCACGATTTTACCCCTAAAAATATAAAATCCGGCAATATTTTGCTGTCAATTTGGTCGAAATGACCAAAACTGATAAAAATAACAAAGTTAAGGACCAAAATTGAAAATTTCTAAAGTTGTGCACCGAAATGGTCCCTTGACTATAGCAAAATTACTAATTTGGTCTTGAGTTAACGGATGTCTAACGACAAAACTAACAGAGGACTAAATTGGTTAATATTTTTAAAGTTGAGGGACTTAATTGGTTAAAAAAAATACTAAAGGACAAAATTAGTAATTTTGCTATAGTCAAGGGACCATTTCGGTAATTAACTCACTATTATATTATGCTAATAATATCCTTAATTTAGGTGATAGATGCATGATTATGACTCTGTTTGGCAGGTTTTATTTAGGAGCTTATTATAACTTAAACCAATAGTTTAAAATAAGAGCTTATTCTGAAAAACTACCTTAGGTAGCGTTTCAAAAATAAGCTAGGAGCTTCCTAATTTTTTTTTACATTTTTATCCTTATTATTTTAAATAAATGTCATTTTTTTTTGAAAATAATAAATGACATATTTTATCCTTCTCAATTAAAATCCTTTTGGCATTTTCTCTTCTCCTATATTTTTATTCATTCTCTTCCGCAACTCTTCACCGCTTAACAACTCTTTTAAAGTTTTAACTTCAATCATCAGTTCATAAATAAATGACATCCTTTACCCTCACCAATTAAAAACTTTATTTCTTTTATTTTAATTTAATATATAGATCTCATGTATATTACAAAAACAATTTTTTAAAAAAAATAAATATATCTCATATATTTAACTAAGGACCTTGTGGTCCACTAGTACAAAGTTGCTCTTTTATATGGGAGGTTGTGAGTTCGAACCTTAGTGAAGCCAGATTATTGGCTTTTTGTGTAATAAAAATATATAATAATTACATCATTTAAATTTTATGAAAATGTCATTTTTAATCTTTTTACATTTATTAGGTTATCAAAAAGGTAATTTTAACGACACTTCAATTTTCAGTTTCGCATCTTTTAGCTCTTAATTCATACATACATACATACATATATATATATATATATATATATATATATATGTATGTATGTATGTATGTATGTATGTATGTATGTATGTATGTATACATACATACATACATATATGTATGTATGTATGTATGTATGTATACATACATACATACATACATACATACATATATGTATGTATGTATGTATGTATGTATACATACATACATACATACATACATACATACATACATACATACATACATACATACATATATATATATATATATATATATATATATATATATATATATATATATATATATATATATATATATAGGGATGCACTCAGGTGCGAATAAGTATCCGGGAGAAAATATGTGAACGAATTCGTGCGCAACACGTGTCCAGATTTAATAGATTAAAAAAAACGCGGTGGCATTTAATGACATTTCAACGATTTTATTAGCGACGACTAAAAATGATCATGACACAATAATATTATAACCAAATGAGAATGTGTTGATAAAAAATGACTAAAAATAAACTGTTACCTATAAATGTAAGATAAAAAATGAAATTAACTCTTTCTAAGTTATTAAAAATAATAACGGAGAAAAGTATTAATTTTAAAATTTTAAATAATTAAAAAAATATTTCAACCATTCATCAAAATAGATTTACAAAACCGTATTTTATTATTAATACAATAGATTTCAGTTG